CCTGGGAGGTTGGGTCTTTCAATAACTAAAGAGATGGCTGAGTACAAGTGATTTGTTGCCTTAAGAAATAATGGTCAGAGTTCAATCTGGAAGGTGGCATGTCCTTCTTCCCCCTTGCCTGACTGGAAGCGATGTCATTAAAGTGTTTGTAAAAGAGAACAATATATTGACAGCCTTGATCAGACTCAGAGAGCAATGGAAATACTTTACTCACTCCATCACACGCCTCCTTTTTTGTCTTGCTTGTTTGTTTGTTTGTTTGTGCCTGCATAGACGGTGCCTGCAGCAACAGAGGAATAGAATTGGGCAGAAAACAAACTCTCCTAACGAAGAACATCCAGCTCCTTCATATAAAAATCAGCAAAAGTCACTAAGTCAAGCATCATTGCACATATTTCCGCAGTGTGTTAAGTGTGACTGCCAAGTCCACACTTGTACTCACACTTGTAGAGTGTGGGAGAGTCAGAGGAAAGAACTCTACACTTGAGGTGCAAAACATGGGCTATTTGAAAGCACTTTTGCAAACAGCCCTTCAAACCTCTGAAAACTGAAGAGCAGTTTATGTAAGGACTTTCAAACAGCCCCAAAGTATGCTTTGGGGTCCCAACAGCCCCCTGATGACAGATGGTGACAAGTGATTGACAGATGGGTGGCCCCAGCCACATGTCAAATTTGGCCCTTCAAGGATGGGGCGATAGGGATCTGCCCTATTCTATTGACTATCATTGATTTTGACTACTTTCCAAATTCATTTGTTGCAATATCAATGTTTGGATACTCTTTTTGCCTACACAAGTCAATGCATGAATTCTCAAGTACTTACCTACTGTGAAGAACTTGCTAAAGACCTCTCCCCAAATTTGTCACTCTTTTCTGTCTATACAACTAATCAATTAACCAATTAGACAACTGCACCCCCAGAAGACTAACATTTGAATGAACTGTCTTTTCCCCTTCTGTAAACAAAACTGTCAATTATTTATTAACCAAGATAAACTGTTCTGGCTAAATTTAAAGTGAACAAATTGCAACTTTGAAAACTGCAGTTTACAATTACAAACTTGCAATCTTAAAAACAGGGGAAGGGAATAAACATAAAACACATTTCCTGGAAATTAAACTGAATATCATGAACGTAAAGAGGATATAAGTAATATAATGGGTAGAATATAATAATTAGAAGGAGAAATCAGATGTGTAAGGAAGAAACCTCAAAAGATTTTCTAAAGCTTGATGTGCTGTCAGCATTGAAGACACCTTTGGAATAAACCCAAATTCCAATAAAATCCCTTCTGTCAACATTTTAACATGCATTGCCTTTATCTTTCCCTTTTCCTCTCCCCCAAACCTCATTTCACCCTTTTTACTTTAACTTTAAAGATGACTAAAGTAAAGATTATTCCATTGAACATTAGAGCTGAACTCATTCAGAAGACATTCTGAAATTTGCTAAACCACTAAATAAAGAAAAAACTATGATAACCCCTTTGCTGTAAATCATATTAAAAGATGAAGAAATACACTTCAATGCTTCAAAATCTAGATAATATTTTTTCATCCTGTTATGATGAAAAGTGGGTTGCAATCTTGAATTAAAACCATCCATTATTTATTTTTTAAAATGTATAATCAATGAATGATCCAGCACAAATATTTGGCACTGGTTTAGTGGGGGGGAAGCCTATAATGATTGGGCGTATCTATGCGTCAAATGAAAATCAAAAAGCATTCACAAAATTAATGCCATAATTGTTTCCAGCCTAGACAAAGAGGCTGGTGGAGGGTTTATTTGAATCAAATTTTTAAAATTGGACAGGGCCAAATATAAAATATCAGGAGTAATTCCAACTCTTTAAAAAAAATTACACAAGTTTTTCTGGTACAAACCTCGTGGCAGTTTCAACCAAAGGAGAAAGATTACACATTTTATGAAATCACTCAATAATTTATTTATTTTTTACATCCCTGTGGTTAACTCAGAAAGTGAAGTAAGCAAATACAGGATGAAACATTTATTATTTTGTTGTTGTTACAAGCATTTGAAAGTTTGGAAAATATACCACTGAAGGGCACCTAGACAATATATTAATGTTTAATTCAGAGTTTGTTCTCACAATAAAACTGATAATTGAAACATATTTTAATAATTCCCCAGAAGACTGTCCTGTAACAAACTGGGAGGTCTTCAAAACAGTCACTACAAGAGAAATCAAACAAAAAGCTGCATATTTCGAAAAAGAAAAAAATCCATTAATGAGTTAATAACACAGATTGAAGATGTGGTGCAACAACATAAAAGGACAAACAATATTACAAAGACTTGATGCTACTAAAACCCCCCACTTAATTTAGTATAGTGTTCATAGGTTTGTAAGTTATCAACTTGGGTCAAGTAACTACTTAACATTATTTTCAGAATAAGGAAACAATACATACAGATAAAGCATTTGATAAAATAGAGTGATCTATTCTGGGAGCTGCACAAAATGTAAATGGACGCTACTTTAATCTCCAGGATTATGATGTTTTCAAACCCTACTGCTTCAAAATAGACAAAGTACAATCAGAAACATTTAAATTAAATAGATGCACTAGACAGGAATGCCAATTATCGATGTTACTATTTAATTATCTGTGGAACTTATGGGCAAAGCTATTAGACTGGATCACATAAATAAAGGACTGACAGTATTAGCAAACCACTTAAAAATAAGTTTGTATGCAGATGACATTGTGCTAATTCTGAAACATCCAGAAAAATAATTTGAGCCAGTTGTACAGTAACTTTAAAAACAATAGAAGACAGAATTGAAAATAAATATCAAATCCCTTGATCATCATGCCTAGAGTATTAATTTCCCCACACTTTTACAATGATCTCTCAAACACTGGAGAATTGTCTTGTTCTCTTAAGACTTGAGCATAAGTCATTATTATTGAACTGAACCATAGAACATCATCAGTGGTCATGCCCTCATTGAGTATTGTTCTGTTCAAAGGACTGTGGTTCACAAGTTCATAATAGTTATTGACAGTGACTATTGGGGAAGTGGGAGAAATTTATTTTCTTTCATATTCTAATATGAACCAACCTAAATCACTGTTGCAAAAAAAAAATATGAAGCAAAACAGAGCTGCCCTTCAAAAATCATATTTCTCTGAATTCTCTAATGCAATTATCCAACCAATTTCTACAGAAATGGGCATATTAGAGGAAAGCATGCATAATGTAAAAATAACATACAAAAAGACACTATATTAGGGAAATTGCTTGCAAAAAACCTGTATGTATGTATATTGAGAGAAATGTCACTAAAATGCTGCCGAATTTTTGTGAGGTCTTAACTCTCTGCCCCAAAAAAGTTTGTGGAAATATGGTGACCCAAACGTAAAATTGGAAAAATGAGAAACTGAAGCAACAAAAATTGAATTATTCATCCATCCCTAGTGACTTTTAATAAAGAGGAAGCTGTATCTCCTCAGAGTAGATGTTTCTGTTGTTCACTCTGGTGTCCTTTTCTATTATACTTAAAAGGAGAATGACTGTATGCAATGGACAAGCCACTGATCATTTCCAGACTTCTCCGAATTCATTGCATTCAGGCTTAGAAATCAGAGACTTGTTGAGAGCAAATAATAGATAAACTGAACATAACCATATGAAAAGTATTAAAATACTTTTCTTACCTGGATATTATCTTTACATTCCTCTGCTTGACTGGGGAGCTCTTGAGAATTATTTGAATTGATCGGATTCAGATGTGTGTTAGGAGGCTCCACAGAGAAAACAGGAAACAGGGGCCTGAGAAACCTGAACTCGCTGTTCAGAGACCCACCAGCTAAGCACACCTCATAGTTGTAAGCCTGGGATAGAGATCCAGCACCAGAATCCACAGAGATCTCCTGGGAATCAGGTCCCACCGGGAAATTGGCTGCAGAGTTGTAGGTTCCTGTGAACTTTTCACGTTTCTGCAACTTGATTACAACAAACGCCACAACAGAAATGAGAAAGATGCTTGAGATGGCAGCCAAGCAGATGATCAGATACATCGTCAGGCTGGGGTCTTCCTCCTCCACCGTTTCCTCCTTTGGGAGAGCCACACTTTTCAGATAAGGGTCAGAGAAGCCGTCCACTAGGAGGATTCTGAGCGTGGCAGAGGTGGACTGGGGAGGATGGCCGTTGTCTCGGACCACCACAATCAGATTCTGCTTGAAGCTGTCTCGGTTGCTGACCGGCCTCAGGGTGGTCACTTCTCCATTCTGGGCCCCCACCGTGAACAGACCCGGTTCTGTGGCCTTCAGGAGCTGGTAGGAAAGCCAAGAGTTCTGCGCAGAATCCCTGTCCACAGCCACCACCTTGGTGACCAGGTAGCCAGTCTCTGCCCCTCGGGGAACCAGGTCGTTTGAGGGGGAAGTGCCATTCTGGAGAGGGTAGAGGATGAAGGGGGCATTGTCATTTTCATCCATGACCTGAACGTGGATGGTGACTTCTGAGCTCAGTGGAGGGGAACCTGAATCCACAGCCCTCACCGTCACCTGGAAATCTTTTACTTCCTCATAATCCAGAGACCGGATGGCATACAGGTTTCCCGTTTCAGAGTTGATGGAGATGTAAGAGGATGTGGGGCCATCATTGACCTTCCCAGGCAAAAGCGAGTAGGTCACTTTGGCATTCTGCGCTGTGTCCGGATCAACAGCATGGACTGAATCGATCAGGAGACCAGGAATATTGTTTTCTCTTAACTGCATTTCATAGAATGTCTTTTCAAACACTGGAGGGTTGTCATTGACATCTGACACTTCAACATGAAGTATTCTTGTGGAACTGAGTCTGGGAGAGCCTTTGTCAGTGGCTGTGATGGTGATGTTATACACAGAGGCTTGTTCTCTGTCCAGTGGTTGTTGGGTCACCAGCTGGTAATAGTTGTTCTCCGTGGGTTTGAGCACAAATGGCAGGTTTACTTCAGTGGTGCAGGCAGTTGTGCCACTGTCTCCAGAGTCCACGTCTGTGACACTGAAGAGGGCCACCACTGTGTCTGGGGGAGAATCCTCATGTAAGGGACTGGTGATGGATGTTATGTAATCTCTGGAGCATTGTCATTCTCATCCTCAATGTCCACAATGACTTTGCAGTAGGAGGAAAGTCCCCCTCCATCTGTAGCTCTGATGTTCATCTCATAATTTGTGTTTTCTTCATAATCAATTGTCCCTGAAACACTCAGTTCTCCATTAAGTGTGTTTAAAGTGAATGATCTTAATGCCGTTTGCGCCACCTGGCTGAAGGAATAAGTAATAGTTGCATAGGAACCAAAATCTTTGTCGCTTGCTTCAACTTTTACAACCAGTGTATTCAGTAGGCTGTTTTCCATTAGTTTTACTTTGTACTCAGATTGTTCAAATTGAGGGAAATTATCATTAGCATCCAGAACATCAATAATAATTTGTGCTGTGCCAGTTTTGGGGCGGATTCCTCCATCAACAGCTGACAGAATCAGGGCAATCTGTGGATTCTCCTCACGGTCCAACGGTTTCTCCAATACCAATTCCGCATGTTTGCTACCATCACTGTGACTTTGCACATCCAGTCTAAAATGCTCATTAGGACTAAGGGTGTAGTTCTGAACTGTATTTTTTCCTTTGTCTGGGTCTTCTGCTCTCTCCAAAGGGAATCTGATATCCACAGGAGTCTGCTCAGGTATTTTAAAAATAAACTGGTTTTTAAAGAATTGGGGGGAATTATCATTCACATCTTCTATTTCAACTTCAATTCTGTGTAGCTGCAATGGATTTTCCAGCACTATTTCAGAGAGTAGAACACAAGGTTCATTCTGTCCACACAGGGACTCCCGATCAATTTTATCCTTTACTATCACATCTCCAGAATGAGGATCCAGCTGGAAATACTGCTTGGAGCTCTTAGAGACTAGGTGGGCTCTCCGAGCAGACAGCTCCTTTGCATCCACTCTCAAATCTTTTAGCACATTTGCCACCAGAAATCCACTTTTCTTTTCCTCTGGCACTGAGTAGAGGAAGGACTCACACATTGCTACAAACATGCAAAGATATAATAAAGGAGACACAACTTGCCTGGTGTTGAGATGCACTTCCATTTTCCCAGCCTTACTTCCAGTTCAGATATATGATGCAAGGTGGTTCTTTCGACGCTGTCTGTTATGTGTCTGTTATATATCCCCAATACAATTATTCATTTCTTTTGCTTTGTTTTTAATGGAATGTGGCCTTTTGAAAGATTTGCCTGAAATGAAGATCTGTTTCCTTTCTCTTTGTATGCTTCCTTTGCATTTATGGCTCTGGGAGAGCAGTTACTCACTACTAAATAATCTACGGTATGTTGTGTAAGAGCACCACCTTGTGTTTGAACTGCAATGTAGCTCCCGAAACATTACCACGTGCCAACTCACATAGAATGATCTCATGTAACAGCTTCTATTTTATGATTGTATTCTTAACCCTTAACTGATACATAAAAAGGCTGTAACCTCTCATTCTCAAGCCCCCCCCCCCTCTCCATCAAGATATTTGTTGAGACACTGTGATGTCCCCAAACATTCACAAATTATTGAGAGGACTGTTGCTGGCATAAACTGTTCACAGCCACTGTGGCCTCCACGAAGGAACAACAACAAAAATGATACAACTTTTTGTATCATACAACATTTCAGCTTCCAGCTCTGCTTCTTCTTCTTCTCTTCACACACAGATTGACTTGTTCTGAAGAGCCATCTGACAGACCCCGACTATGACTTGAGTGCCATTTTATCTCCAGCCAGTCATTTCAAATTTGGATGGAATTCTCCCCTCTCATTGTGATGAAATGTCATTGTATGTTCAAAGTGAATAGATTCTCAAGTCTGTTAGTTAGCTTTATAAGTTAGATAAGGTTGGTGAATGATGTTGTGCTTGCTTATTAAGATTTGTTCCAAATACTACATTGTTTTTAAATCTTCATATAGAAGACAATACGTGGTATATTGAGTGAAATATATTATGTGAAGGTATGATGGAATATTTGGGAGCTCCATGTCCTTTACTGCTCACACTTGAGGCAGCACAGGAATGGAAGATATTTAAACAAGAGTTTCAGATTTTATTGTCGGCTATGCAGTCAGATGAAAAACCAGATATACAGAAAATTGCTGTTTCTCTTAATGTGGTGGGCACTGTATAATTCCTTTGAGCTGTCTGCTGAAGAAACGGTTATAAGGCGCCAAAGGAAAAGTACTGTCTTCCTAAAAGTAACATGACAACTGGAAATATAAATTTAGATCAAAATATTAGCAAGATGGAGAAACATTTGTAATGTTTCAGATTTCAGAGCAAAAAGGTTGACTTGCAGTTTTGGAAGGGATTCCTTAACAATGTGGCATATTTGCAGGGAGATGGTCTGACCTAAATCACGATATAGAAGCTTCTGTAAAAGATTGTGAGGTATGCTTCAAATATCAGAATAAAGTAAAACAACCTATGGATTTTTTAGCACCATGATCAAGAGTGAGAATGGATTTGTTTGAATAGGAGGGGCATCAATATTTACATGTTCTTGACCATTATTCACATTATCCAGAGATCTGAACTTAAAAATCTGAGTGCAAAACTTCTCATAGGCAAATTGAAAGTTGTTTTTACAAGACATGGTATTCCACCAATGGTTATGTCAGACCGTGAGCCAAAATTTTGTTGTCAGAGGAGTTCAAAGATTTTGCTTCTCATTATGAATTAAGGCATGCAAAGTCTAGTCCAGGATATCCTTAGTTGAATGCGCTGGTAGAGAATGGTGTCAAAATTATTAATCAAATATTATTTAACAAACATCTACTGCTGTTTGCTGAGCTTTACTAAATTTTAGGGCAGGACCTTTAGAACATGGGTTTTCTCCTGCAGGGTTGCTGGTCAATTTCATGCTTCAGGCAGCTTCATAGTCAGTTGCCACTGATTGTCAGCATGGCACCTTATCATCAAATAAGTAAGTAGAGCAAGTCGGGCAAGTAAGAAGAACCTTTCATAAAGCTGCAAGTTCACAGGTGTCTCTTTCAGGGAGGACTTCCATACAGGGTCTTAGGTGTTTGCCCTCTTTTGTTGCCTACCAGCGCAAAGCCAGTTATAGAAGCCAGGTGCTCCATTGATTTGCAAACACATTGTGATTTTGTCCCTCTGTTGTCTCTTGAACCTTGATTGCTAATTCAGACGCCATACAGATGCTTTTAATGTAATACGTTTGATCTCTTTACTGTAAAGAAATGAGTGAGAGAGCAGACAAAACATAATTAATTTGTAGTGTCTGAACACAACACATCTCCTATGCAATCAGAAAAAGGGTAGTGTGTTGCTAACAGTGTCTCTGCTCACATTGACATGAAAATGTATCATAATCCTTGAAAAAATAACCCCGTATCTGGACTTTACATCTTTGTACATAGCTGTGTTGCCTAACAGATGTTACTTGACTATATGTTGTCTCCTTTTTTGGCTTAGCCAGGACACCAGGCCATTTTGGGGAAATCCGAGTGTGTTCATCATCAGCTGGTCATAAAACTGTCTCTTTTGCTGATGTTAGATCCTTTTATTCATGTGTATCTGGACAGTCATGCATGCACCCACAAACAGAAGTGTTCACATGTCATCAAAGGAAACATGACATCCAGGATCTTGCAAGGGGGATGAGAATAGTAATAGAGTATCGTCTCCATTTTAAGTTATTTCTTGAGTGCCCATGATAACAGAAGAGCCTGAAGTTTGGGTTGGATATCAAAGGTCCTTGGAACAACTTGATATGCATTCTTCAGTGCTAAACACTTTGATTAGTGATATTCAGAGGCACAGTGGAGGTGAAAAAATTTCCAAGAAAAAAATGGGGTAGGTGCTATGCAGGTCATTTCCCAAAGCACAGCAGAATTAGTTCCTAACCTCTGCTCAGCTGCTGCCAGAAAATTTAAGCTTCTATAATTTCACTCACAAGTACTGTACGCTGATATAACTGTGATGTGGTTTGTGAGATTCTGGTAAGGAAAGAAGAAGAAGAAAATAAGTTCATTTGATTTCTGAATGTCCAGTGAAAACATTGCAAAATGTGGGCATTCCTTCACAATTGTTTAGCTATATATCAAATTCCAGGAGCTGCAGGCACCCATTCTGACACAGCTTTCTAGGATCTTCTCCTTCCTATCAGGTGATTCTCCCTTCCTATAGCTTTGGATATCCCCACTTTGGAAACAATACATTAAGACAACAATATAATGCCAGTTTTTTCCACTGTAATTTCATTTATTGGTTTACTTGTTTGTCCTCCCATTCTTATCTTACCACTGTGCTTCCATGTTTATCCACCTCTATGCCATGGTCAAAACTGCAAATGGTTCTTGATAAAGTCTTCATTCTGTGTGCTTTTTGTATACACACAAAAACATGTTTCTCCACATGGATATCCAAACACAAACTGCAGATTTGTCCAACAGAGTCTGCAATCAACAGTTTCACTAAATATGCCAAGAAATGTTTTCTTCAGTACTTTTATTTCTTTTCCAGTAAATGCTTGCATTTTTATTATATCCATCACTTACATGTCTTGAAATAATCTTGTGTGATAGCACCAAGCCATTTGCTTGTTTCATTGTGAAGACAGCAGGAGTCCAGGCAGCCATCCTCCCAGATTTTTGGGACCTAAAATAGAAATCAGAGAGAAAATGAACTACACAAAGGCAAAGAAGGGAAGCCCCTACCTTTCCTTGCAGGAACGTTCTTCTTCTGGTCCCTTTCCTTATTGAGGAGAAATGTCAAATTCCTTTATTGTGAAAGGGCTGGAAATCAGACACCATCTGCATAGCAAGCTCAGTCGCCATTTCCCCACTGCCTGTACTGTTTTCCTGCAGATTCTTTGCACATCCTCAGCAGCGCTGAGCAACAGCGACACAGAATGGTCAAAACTGGAACTGCGTGTATTTCATGCTAAGCAGCAAGCACCTTTCTCGTGTTTTCACTCATAGCAGGTGATCTGAGTTTTGCCCATTTAATAAGTGTGCAAATACTGGAGACAAGCATAGAAAACCCCAAAGCAACTAACTGTAGGGCAAGTTTTGGAGCACCTGAAAGAATAACCAATTTATTATGCCATATGTTTTTGTGGACTTCAGTATCAATATGCCTGAAAGGTTATCCTGGGAGAAACAGTTGCAGGAGGAAATAAAATGCAGAAAAGCACAAGTTGTGGTAACTATACACTTGTAATTCACAAAACAATTCTTGATGGCACAGACATTCTGGCATTGACAAGCCAATTAACCCACATACTGTTCTAGAAATCTCATGTCTCACCTCAAGCTACAAGTGATAGCATTTAAATTCTTGATGTACTACAGTTTGATAGTTTTACATTCCTATGTCCCTTTGAAATTCTTTTGCTGGCAATGGCCATGCACATTCACTAAAATGAAGTAGTTGCAGTGGTACCTCGGGTTACATACGCTTCAGGTTACAGATGTTTCAGGTTACAGACTCCGCTAAGCCAGAAATAGTACCTCGGGTTAAGAACTTTGCTTCAGGATGAGAACAGAAATCGTGTTCCAGCGGCACGGCGGCAGCAGGAGGCCCCATTAGCTAAAGTGGTGCTTCAGGTTAAGAATAGTTTCAGGTTAAGAACGGACCTCCAGAACGAATTAAGTTCTTAACCCGAGGTACCACTGTAGTAGGTTCTCTAGAACCTTTGTTGGGGTTCTTCAAACTTCGTCTCACTCCTTCTTTTGATTTTCAGATTCTCATCTTTTTTGCTGCAGATGTTAAACAAAATAGCAAGAATGTGAGGTGGTAAGAGAAATCTGGGCACGATGGGAAAGTTGCACTGTCAGTAGTTTGCAAGAGTTTTCATGTGGAGATGATCTGTAGATTTGGGCTGCATAATAATATTAGAGTACGGGGATTACTTCTGAGTGGGAATCCATAGAACTGCCCAGTGAATTTAATTCAATTGTGCTAGGTACAAATCAGATTTCAGGTTGCACTAAGGTCTACTGCAGGAGTAGGGAAACAATTGTTATCTCCCCACCCCCTGGTGCCCACCTATCGGTCACTTGACATCACTATGGCATAAGGGGATGTTGCACTTTGAAGCTCCAGATGCTGTACCACTGTTTGAAAGTCTTTTGCTGTTGGAAACGGGGCTCAAACAAGAGTGGCGGAAAGTGCCTGAAATCCCCTTCTGAAAGCACTTGGTTTTGTTCCCTCCCAAACACTTGATCAGGAGAAAAGAAACAAGTTGCCTTTTGAAAGTCTCATATATCATAATATATATCATCTGTCTGTCTATCTATCTATCTATCTATCTATCTATCTATCTATCTATCTAATCTATCTATTTCCCCCGCCACTCTGGGTAGCTTCCAAGTTGCCAATCTGACATCAAACATTAAAAACTTCCTTGAACAGGGCTGCCTTCAGATGCCTTCTAAAAGTCAGAGAGTTTATTTCCTTGACATCTGAGGGAGGGCATTCCACAGGGCGGGCGCCACTATTGTGAAGGCCCTCTGCCTGGTTCCCTGTAACCTCAGTTCTCTCAGTGAGGGAACCTCCAGAAGGCTCTCAGAGCTGTGTTGTTGTTTAGTCGTTTAGTCGTGTCCGACTCTTCGTGACCCCATGGACCAGAGCAGGCCAGGCACTTCTGTCTTCCACTGCCTCCCGCAGTTTGGTCAAACTCATGCTGGTAGCTTCGAGAACACTATCCAACCATCTCTTCCTCTGTCGTCCCCTTCTCCTTGTGCCCTCCATCTTTCCCAACATCAGGGTCTTTTCCAAGGAGTCTTCTCTTCTCATGAGGTGGCCAAAATACTGGAGCCTCAGCTTCAGGATCTGTCCTTCCAGTGAGCACTCAGGGCTGATTTCCTTAAGAATGAATGATCTTCTTGCAGTCCATGGGACTCCAGAGCTAGAATTATAGAATTGTAGAACTGGATGGGATGCCAAGGGTCATCTAGTCCAACCCCCTGCATTGAAGGATTTCAATCAAAAACCTCCAAGGAAGAAGAGTCCACCACCTCCTGAGGGTGTCCATTCCACTATCAAACAGCTGTTATTGTCAGGAAGTTCTTCCTGATGTTTAGTTGCAATCTCCTTTCTTGTAACTTGAGCATGCAGTCATTCCTTCCCAAAGGCAACTGTTTTTCTCATCTCCCTCTTACCTCTAGGTGATCACACCTGCCTTGTAACAGATGAAGACTTTTGAAGGGCCCAATACATGGGCATCTAGTATGTTCCCTTTTAGGAATCCTAGTTCAAAGCTAAAGAGGGTGACCAAGGTAAAGACCAAGAAGTAAATGCTGAGAAACAACAAATGGATCACAACTATGCCAACAGGTTGTGGGGGGGGGGTGATGCTCAAGGCTCATCCCTCTGGGAAGGGGTTCCTTACTTATAGGTTTGGATAATATACTTGAGGCTGGTAGTGTCACCCACCCAAGGAAACTGCAGATGGACTGGGGACTCAGTGATATGGGATCATCAGACTAATGGCATATCATAGCTAAAAGCTGCTGGGAATATAGAAGCAACGCAAAGCAAGGCACATAAAGCATGATTGGATAATAATTTTAAATAGAGCATTGATTAACACATATATATATTTTAATAAGGGGTCATTCCTTATCAAGTGATCCAACTTTTTTACCTCATGTCATCCAATTTTCTTAATATTTTGTACACTTGTTGAATGATCAAAACTAAGTTTAAATATAAATTTTTAATTCTTTATCTCATGTTTTTGAGTTATGAGGGTGTGAAATTTCAAAAAAATAAATATGACAATTTTGATCCAAGTGTTTACTTGGTTCCTTGGTGGGCTGGTCCCCTCCAGGTGGCTCAGCACTCTGCATGACATCCAAGGTTCCCACACGTTGAGTGGACTCCAGTGAACTCTGATCACAACGAGCATACATGTCTGCCACTTTCTTCGATCTACTTTTCATCCATTCACTGCCTCCTAACAATTTAACCACACTAGGAGGTGTGTTAACTACAGCTTGTTTGGCCTCTTTTCCCACCTCTGTCACCATATAAAGAACAGACGGTGCTCAGGAACTGAGCACTAGCTATCTTTTGATATAAAGGTGCCAAATAACTAGGGTAAAATAATCCCTGCAAGGTAGAAGATGCCACCATTGCTGCTTGTTTATCCACTGTGATAGGAGAGGACCTCATTTTGCACACTAGACAAGCTGAAATTCCAGAAAGCAAGAGCTGAACAACCTGACTCTTCCTCTTGAGCCCCAAGCCCTGATTACTCTGGAGCTGTTAAGCAAGTAAACAAGTACACCAAGATTAAAGTGGCAGAAATGCTAATCATTATTAAAAAAAACAGAAGCATGAAAGTTAAACTTGTTACCATTGAAATAAGACCATTAGGCAAATAATCAAAGCATGAGAATACTATAAGGTAAAACAATGAACTTAATTTACCTATCTTTAATATTTAGCCATTGGAGCACTTTACTGCAGTGAAATCCAGCAAACAAACAGCATCCAAACACACACCAGAGTGCCCCAGAGTGGCTGGGGCAACCCAGGCTGATGAGCAGGGTACAAATAATAATTTATAATTACTAGTACTATTATGATTATCAGTGTAACAATCCAGAATGATACACCAAAGTGGCAAAACCACTTTTAAAGACTCAAGCCTGGATTCCTTGACCAATTAAGAGGCCTGAATAGCTGTAAATTTGTGGACATACTACTTCACCACAAAGGAACCTGACTTGACCTAACAAAAGTTTTCTCCAGCTTCTTAATTCCCCATCTGTTTTAAAGTATTCCAATATTTTTAAACAATTATGTCCACTCAAACCTGTCAAATGCTTTTTTACTATCTAAAAATAATAATACACGAGGTTGGTTACTTTTAACTATGTTTAACTGTTTTATGTATTACATTTACCAGTCTTCCAACATTTGTAGACATTTTTCCCCCTGTAATAGAGCCCAAGTATACTATTATACATCCCAATTACACAAAGAATTCATCTATATATTGTTCCACTGGGGTTTCTGATTTAGACATTTTTTCATAATATTTTAAAATTGTTCTAAAATTTCATTTGCTATACTTGTTAATCTGTCTTTAAAAATATTGATGGAATAATTTTCTCTTTTATTATTTATTTAATAATTGTATATTTTTGATGGTTTATTACTCAAGTCAAATCATTTTTGCTTTAAAACAATTGAAATGCTTTCTTATTTTTGAACTCATAAGAACTCTAACTCTTGTTTAACCCCTACAAACTGTTCATATATTTGTGGACTTCTAAGTTTATGAGATTGCTCTATTGAATGAATATATATATATATATATATATATATATATATGTGTGTGTGTGTGTGTGTGTGTAAGCTATCCCAGTAGGCCATGTCACCTCTGGGGTATCATTCCTTTCCAATATTATTGTATTTCCTGATGGTTAGTATTTAATAATTCTGAATAATTCAGGTATATTGTCTCTAATCTCCATTGTCTTGATTTCCTTATTTTTATCCATGCCCTTAGAATAGGTGCATTAGCAGCATATAACATAGGCTCTATTTTAACTTCCTTTATTTGTTTCAAGACCAAATCTCTACTTTCTTTTTTATATCCTTTGGGTTATCACATCACTGTATAATTTTATCTTCATTTCTTTCATAGTAATCTACTGAGATTGAACATTGTGTCTTTTATGCATCTCTGATGTACCCTTCCTTGTTGATTTTTGTTTCCTTTCCCCTTTCAAGATTTTAAATTTCATTATATTTCCTTTTATCTGACCCATTAACTAGCTCAGTAATAGTAGTCATTACATATGTTACTTCTCCA